AAAAAGGTTTCAAATATAGCTTAGTATAGTTTGTTTTCTCGTCTTTTGCTTTGCACGTGTTCATTCCATTCTCTATCTCGTGCTGCCAGAGTACCTCCACTGGACCTTACATCACTTTACTGTCTCTTTACGCGATTTGCGCACAGACCTGTTCTGTTTGAACGTTTTAACAATGAAAGATATCGTCTCCAACAGTTATCGAGAGCAAACAGTAGCATCCAGTTAACAGGCTGAATTGAAAGGTAATTTTTTTTCCGCGGAATGTTCATGAATTAAGGATTTTTAAGATTCCCTCGAGCAGTGCTCGGGAAAGTCACGAAAAAGTCTATAAGTGCTCCTTAGGTATGCCGCGTTGTGATCATCTTGCGTCATTTATAAAAGCCGTTTGAATTATTTTTTTGTGTGGTTCACGGTCTCTGCATTCTTTAATGATAACGAAAATGCAAACGAAATGTGCTTTCAACCTACAGGCGATTACAGCTTCATTTGAATTTCATTTGAATTTTTTTCGTTTTCTGAAAGAATGTGTTTTAATGATATTTTAAGTTAGAGAGGACCATAATTGGACAGTTTTCCTACTTGATTGATGTTTGATAAAGCAGAAAACCTCTGAGTGCAACTTAATGAACACAACAGCAAATTAATATTTGCATTAACAACAAAAAGAAAAAAAAACGCCCCCTTCTTATGTACGTGCTTCCGATGTGATATTTAAAAGCGTGAGGCAAAGAATGAGAGAGATTCACTTTACGGTAACACTCCTTTATTAGTTGCTGAGATGACAGAAACAAACAGCAAAGTGATTTCTAGCCCGGTAAGTTAAAATATTTCTGTTTGTAGAATTTTAATTTTAACAGGTGTTTGCTGCGGAAATAAAGTTTATGTTAAGTTAAATGGCAGTTAATTGTGCACCGGAGAACGTGGCGTGGCATGTGTTAAGAGTGAAGTAAAATAACGTTCGCTAACAAGAATCGTAGTATCATAACTTATGAGCAAAGGCACACTTACATGGCGTGGCAATTTGTCACCCACAGTTTGACCCAGTTTGATAGTAAATGTGTGTAGAGCAGATAAAAATCGGCCCTGGTTTAAGCTATATATTGGAAGAGTTAAAAAGCAAACTGAATTGGCACGCTACAATTTAGACCAAGTTTGAAAAGAAAATGTGTGCACGGATAAACAAAATTGACCCGAGTTTCATATACACGAATAAACAAGAAGTAGAAAAAACCCCGACAGGCAAATCATGCTGTGTAAATTAATTTTGCAGTTGAATGAACCAACAACTAAATCTGGCCCCAGTTATTCGAAGGCAGGATAACGCTAACCATCTAGTGTGGATACTGAGGTCTTAACAAAACAAACCACGCTATCCGCGAGATGGTGTTTTATCCAGTGGATAGCGTTATCGAAAAACCCGGGCAAAGTCTACAAATCGAAGCATCTCGATAGTCTAGTCGTGCACAAAAGATATGTAAAAACGGTCCACTTTTTTTATCGTGGGTGGACCTCCGGTTCTTCGACCGGCCGGTCGCACGCGGGGGTGAAAAGATTTCAGCCCGTCTATCAAGCTGGTCCGTTCTTTAATAGCGTTGAATTCATCTATCACAATCTCTGCCCGTTTGTCAAGCTGGTCCGTTCTTAAATAGCGTTGAATTCATCTAAAACAATCTTGGGGTATCCTTTCACTGCTATGCTATCAAAAACTTGACACTTTAACCCCTAACACTCTGATAAATGCTAGTTACGTAGTAATTACAAACCAAAGACGTCAACAAACCTAAACGCATCCGACATCCCCCGCAGACTCACTTTACGAACCAAAGACGTTTTTAAGACCATTTATAACTACCTTCAATCCATCACTTCCTCACTTTTCTAACATCATCAAAACTGAAACATTACAATTTGTTGCTCTCTTCTAACCGCTACAAAAACGTTTTTCAGCATTTGCCTGTTGTAGTCTTCAGACGTTCCCCTAACCTTCGTGACTTACCAGTTACAGCTAAACTCTCTTCTAATTCTTCTAATCCCAACTCCCTTCTGGTTCTTTCCGTTGTGGCAAAAACTCTGCTACTTGTCCCTACATTTCTCATGGACTTACTACATATACCTTCTTTTCTACCGGGGAAACGCGCTTCATAAAATCTAACCTGACCTGTGATACTAAAAACCTCATCTACACGATTCAATGTTACCGCTGTAATTTTCAATACATAGGAGAGACGAAATGATGATTAAAAGACCGATTTAGTGAACACCGCCGAACATTCCCTGTCCTGTCCTAACCACACTGCTAACGACATGCAATTAATCCCGGTCGAAAAAAATCTTTTCGAACCGAGACTCTATCCGTAAGGCCAGGGAAGCTTTTTTAATTCAAAAAGGCAGAACAATTGATCCTGATGGTCTAAACATCCGTGAAGAAACATATTAATTGCTCTCATTTGTTTCCTTTTATTATGTTATTTTATTTTATTTTATTTTACCGTATGCTTATCTTTAATTTACACTGTCAATTAGCTTTACGTATTTCAGGTATTACGAAAATATCGGCTACATAAATACACGTCCCAATGTAAAGTTCTCACTGTACCCGAAGAAGGCTGGTTTGGCCAGCCGAAATATAGTACACCTTCAAAAAATCATCCCACGTTATGTCGGTTTTTGCTTTTGTATTCTTCACTTTCTTAAACTTTGCCTAAACAATGGGTCCTTAACATTTCCGTATCGACAGGCCTTAGTGCAGTTGCGGCATTCCCATTAAATAGCTTTGTCAGTTGAATGTTAACAGACTTTGTGAAAAACACTCGTTAGCAGCTATATTTTCAAGTAAATTAAAATTGGTATTTGCAGCTAGACTTGAGAAATAGTCTAGCACGCAATGAACTATCTGTTACCTTAAGTTCAGAGTAACTTGCTGTTCAGGGCCACAGCCGGTGACGTAAAAGAAGAAGAAAACTTAACCTCAAAATAAACGTGTCGGTGAGCATGATTTTCCATGTTTAGAGATAAAAGCTTAGTCAAGGAGTGTTACATAAATTTTTGATGTACGTTACTACGTGCCTCAAACGCGAGAAAAATCATCAACCATGAAGTAAACAAAATTTGTTTTGCGGTTTCCAGGAGTAAATACGTAATTAATCAAAAAAAATTAGACCTTGCACCCCCAGCTGACTCAAAGGCTTGATAAGAGACGGTCAGTAACAAGCAAACGAAACTGGATGGAAACTGACTTGCTGAAATGATGTTGAAGATGTCGACGAAGAAGAACCTCGTCATGATGAAGAGACTCTAGAGGGTAGTGACATCCACCAGACTCGACTTGATGCCAAGCCCTACTCTGAGAACAAACCTCGTCCTGATACAGAGGCTGTATATGCCAGTGACAGTCAGCACACTCAACTCGATGCCCAGGCCTGCTGTGATAAGAAACCTCGTCCTGATACAGAGGCTCTACATAACAATGAGCCATCTCGTGACGTTGAAGCCCGGTGTAAAGACGAATTCAATCTCGACAAAAACAGTAGCGTTCAGGTTTTTAAAGAACCTCATCCCGACGAAGAGGCTGGGTTAAATAAAATACCTCATCTTGATAACGAGGCTCATTATGACAGAGGTTGGGCGTGGGTGGTTCTTGGAACAACATT